TTGCGCACGAGTTTTTAAAAGGATGGGGGGGGGGGGGGGGGGGCGGGTCTGTCTGAATTGTAAAACATACTCTGAAAAAGTGCAAGAATGTAAGAGCAGCAGTGCTGGGTCAGACAAAAAGCTCATTTAGTCTAGGATACAACAACAGCAGCAACAGTAACCATAAGCAAAAGCCTAGGTTAGATTAGGAGAAAGCAAGTATTTTTCATGCTGCCTCTGAGTGGGCTCTGACTCTCCAGAACTTTCAGCTTAATGACTATCACAGCTAGAAGTGTTTTTCTGTATTTAGTAAACCTCAGTGGATTTCTTTTCCATGTCCATAGCCATCTCTGTTTTATCCGAGATTAATTTCTAGCATCCATAACACCCTTAGGCAAGAAGTTCCACAGGTCTGGTACCCATTGCATCCCACTTCTTTCTTTGGTTTGTTTCAAACCTTTGATTTCTCTAGTTTCACTTGATGTCCTCTAGTAGTTAGGTTGGAAGAGATTCCCCTATCTCTTTTAGCATGTATCCTCTCAGTCTTGTCTCCTCCAGATGGCAGAGCTCTGCCTTACTTAATCATTCCTTCAATTGAACCTGTTTCAGAACCTGGTGCAACCTTTGTTGTTCTTCTCTGATCCTTTTTCCATCTTTCCTTTTCAAGATGGAGGACCAGAACTGCACACAGAATCGAAGACATTGGCAAAACGCAGGATTTATACATGTGTGTGTACGGATGTTCCCTCACCCTTTCCTAATAATTCTTTTAGAAGAAAGCTTTGGTCCAAGTACTGTCACATTTTAAATAGTCATTACCATGGCTTTAAGTGGTTGCTTCTGATTAAAAGGAGTACAACAGCATGGCTCACAACACGAGAGCTCATGTAGCAGCAGCACTTGCATTTGTTCATTAGTTTTGTTGAACCCTCCAATTTGTGGCCAGTGGATTGTAAACTGGCAAGTAAAATGAGCCTTTCGCACTGTGATCAACAATTGTTCTTGTTTTGTTTTCATAGATCCGCCTTCTGTTTTTCAAAGCACTGATGGAAACTGGGTAGCTTTGCAGAATGTCACTTTGCCTCGTCCTCGAATGCTTGCCAAACCAAAGAGTCAAGTATTCGAAGCTTTGGAGAATGAATCCAGCATTGTGTCTGCCTATGACGAAATGGGCTCAGACAGCGAGGATGACTATGACTGGAACGTGGCCTTGAACAAGCTGCGTCGGAAACCTCGGCAATTACCAGACGGTTTCTATTATACCAATTCCCAGTATGGTACTGAATGGGTTTACGGCAATGATCAGTACCAGGCAGTGACCTCTCCTTCCTCGGGGTTATACACCAATACTGAGACACTGTTCTCCGATTCGGAAACATCTTCAGTAAACTCTTCCCAGGAAGCTAAAGGACCTAGCAAACTTCTCTGGTTACAAAGCAGAACTCAAAGCGATATGCCCAGAATGGAAAAAACACATTTCCACGGAGAACTGGATGTGAATTTCAATCCACAGGCAACCAGCTTGGAGTATTCAGACAGCAGTGACACTGAAGAAGTCCATTATGATTTAGAAAAGAGATCCAGAAGGTGGAGGAAGAACAAAGCAATCTCTGAAGAGTTACATGAAGAAAAAAATCACACAAAAGCCAACAAGATGAATTTAAGTCAGGTAATTGTCTTTGAGCTTACCAAATGCATTCTCAAAAAGAGCTGGGCTAAACTAATTAAGCTATGTGGGCAATAACATGTGAATAGTGAGTGGGAGGTGGAGTGTTCTTGCAAGCTTTATCTTCCTCATGCCTCCTAACTGAGAAGAAACAAAGGTAAAGTGTTACGTATACCATGAACAGGCTTTGCCTCTTTCTCAAATATGCCACTTCCATCTGATCAATGACATTGTTAATGCTGTAAAATACAGTGCTCTTAAAAAAAAAAAAAGGTCAGGATTTGCCAACAGCTAACAAATGTTGACTAATCACCTGTTTTGTTGCTTTGGGTTTTTTTTTTAACTCCTTTGTTCTTAGAATAAGAAATAACTCATATGCCTGGGAATCTTCTGTGTGCTGTTTGCAGTTGTTCTGGTAAGGGATAAAGTTAATGAGCAGCAGAAATTCAGAAAGGCCTTTTTTTGAAATATGGTCCAAGTGATGTCTGCTGTTAGTTGGTCAAGTGATTACGAGTTCTGATGTGTTAGGGTGAGTGTTTGCAAACTACTTCCATTTAAATAATTTGTCAATTGATTAAAAAAAAATGGGAAAAAACTGATCATACAACTTGAAGACAGCAAAGTACTCCTCAAACATTTCTTTTAAACAACAAGTGTGGGATAACCAGAAAGCCAAGAAGTCTTCTCTGGAGTTTGTCCAGGCCTGGGACTGTTATTATGTAAGGGATCTGGTTGTCCCACAGAACCTTTTTAGCAGTACAAGCACACTTCTAACTCTAATTACCCAGCTGGAGGAGGAGAATATTGACCCCTCATCCGGTTCCATTTGCCTCATCCTACTCCTTTTAAATCCTGGAGCTGCATCACGGCTGCAGCAGAGTAATGGTAAGCCTGAAGCAACGAGCTAAGTGCTGTCTTCTCCCTATGCCTCTGACTACAAGCAACCCAATCCAGTCTTTATATCTCTCTCTGTTGTGCTCAAAATGCGAGGCTTGGGATCCTGACCCTCTCTCCCCCTTCATTTTACCCTTTAGGCTAAAAGAGACTGTTCCTGCTCTCCTGCTCCCTCAGCCACAGTGGGGCAGGCAGAGGCACACTGCCTCCAGCTCATGCTACTGTTTTCAAAGCAATGAAATTCTCACTAGGAAGTTTATGTGTGGGGGGAGGGGTTGTTGCATACATTTAATTTGTGTCTGGGCACACACACACACCCTGGTGGCTGATTTGACAGCTGGTGCCCACATTCGGAGATCTCTTACTCCAGCCACCGGTACACAAGCACTGCTGGGAGCAGGAATGGACTGGCAACTACAATTTATAGCAAGGATGTTGCACGGTTGAACAATTCTAGGAAGCAATTAAAATGATCATGAGCGTAAGGAATATGATTTGCAGTATGAAAATAAATTAGACAGATGTCATTTATATTGCTCAGAAAAATGAGATTAAAGGGATGTCAGGGTTTCATATAATCCCCAAAGTAATGTATTGGTCTTGGTAAAATGATGGAGGCTGCAGCAGAGCGAGCCCTGCATGTGAACAGTTTGTACAAAATGATAGTGTAGCTGTGTGAAGAACTGCAGACAGCATAAACTTAAGGAAGCTTCATTGTGGGGTCTTAAACCAGGCACAGATCTTCCATGCTGAGATTACATAGAATTTGCAGAAACCATACAAAATGCTCTTCTAAACCATGTTGCATCTAGACATTAGACGCCGAGCAAGTGATCATATGTAAATTGCAGGGAAGAAATGTACTTTTCCCATACTATACTGCATTGCAATAACAACTTTATTTTACTACATTGTAATAATAAGATGATAATTTCTTAACCATTATGTTTTCATTAGCATTGTAGAACAGGATTTCAGTTTAGAAGTCTAAAAGTTGGCTTTCCTTTTCTAATTTTCAAATAGTGAAGGTTGCTTTCTTGTTTGCTGCTCTCCAAGACTCACAGTGAAATGAAAATGGGCCCTTTCCTCTCTCCCTGCTCCAAGTCTAGAGAATTGTAAGCAGTTACATTCTGGAACAACTGTGGTCATTTCATAACTCACAACTGAATTTCTATTTAAAATTAGGGGTTTTTTAAATCAAGATCCAGTACCTAGATGCTGTGGCATTTTTTTTTTAAATGTATTTTAGAGTCAACACTGGAATGCTGACTTTGTGAGTGAGAGACTATTCACTGTATAAAGTCTGGAGCAACTTAAAAAGGGAAACCTGAGAATGGATATCAGGATATACTGTATTTGGGGAAGGGGTTTTGCCACTTAATGATAGGTAAAAGAACAACCTGCTTTACTGGATTGCCTGTAGAGATGCTGTAAACACAGTCATGAAGCAAGTACATGAAGCAAAACATGAAAACTGTCCTGATAAAACCAAGGTCCAACTGTAAGAAATTTCTGATAACCTGATTACTTATGTACCACAGAAGACTTCTACTCCTGTGGGAACTGTCAAATTGTAACTTTTTACAAGAAATTGCCACTCAAACCACCAATCTCTGTCTGCTTTCATTATTAATAATTGATATTATTAGTAATAATAATATTGACATATTGGCTTTCATTATCTTTTTGAGAGGAGATGTTGCTTAGTGTAGCTGCAATTCTTACATTTCTGATGGAAAGTGGAGTGGCTTAATTGCTTCAAGTGAAGGAAGTGCCCTCATTAGGAGTTTCCTTCACTGATCAGGAGACCCCACCTGTTAATTACAGCCCTACTGCCCTGCAGCCAGGTAAGGTGAGCGCTGTCAGACTGCCGGTCCCCACGGGATGGCGCTTGGGATATATTTATTGGAAAGAGCTGCCCTGAAATTACACCCACTCTTGCTGAGAAACTGTCTGCAAACCTCACAATTTATGTCTTCTCCTCCAAATTGTAGTTTCCGATTTTCGGTTTCCTATAGGAATGGAGCTTTCTGTCAAGAGTTTATAGTGTAACATGGATTTGGTTCTGGAGCCTCCAAGCCAGTACTTTGCTTGCTCAGTTGCTTTATTTTGGGGTATTTTTTTGGTTTGCTAGGATTACATTGAGTTATCAGCCATTTGCATGCAAGGATTTTTGGAGAATGTGTATGAGGAGAGGTATATTTCCTAGTTCATTGTCTGCTAAAGGACTTATGCTTGCATAGAAACACTTTATTTTCTTTTAGTGAGACTGGGTTTGTGGCTGTATTAGTCTGCCAGGCCCTCACTGAAGCTCTGTTTTCAGGTAAAGCAGTAGCCCTTTATTCTTGTTTGCAGATGTTTGTATTATACATTGCTGATAGATGCAAATGGGAATTTACACAATTATTTACATGAACACAAAGATTTCGTTAAACTTACCAGATAGAGCCAAAGTCTGAACAGTAAAGAGCAATGAAGTTTAAGATAGTATCTATTAAATAAATAATAATAGTACCTTTCAATGTATTTATTATTTTTTATTGCTGTCCTGGCTTCTAATACATTTTTTTAATTTGAAAATCCATGAAAGAATTATCATCTCCTCACAAATAGTTCACTGCCACCATCTGAAAAGCTCAACAGACAAGCCAAGAAGCCTACCAGTAACAGAAACCACAAGGTGTAGCTTTATAGGATATCATTATCTCTGCATGTAAGCACGAACTAACAGCTCTTGCAAATGTAAATACTCCACCTGCTCACTGTAAGGAAGTTGGAAAGCAGAATTGTGGATAATGGGCATACCTAAATCCAGCTGTAATAAAATCAATACCCTCAAGGTGAGTCCTCCCCCAAGAAACAATGTGTACTCATAACACAAATTTAGCTAATGTGGAATAAAACCCTAGCAATGCCAAGGCAGCTCATGACTTTCTCCTGTGCTGGCAAATGTAGCAAAAAGCTCTTCAAGTTTCCCAGCCAATGAGTTCAGAAAATTCTTTTATATTTGTTAAAGCAAGAGCTAGAATTGGGAATGGTTTGGTAACAGTGTGACATGTGGCTAAGGTAAGAATTGCAGCTTGCTGCTGCCAAAAAAGGAATACCTCCTTCCTGTCTGCCTTCCTGCCTTCCCTCCGCCTGCCTCCAGCATGGTGCAATATCTCTCCCTTGTCAGCTCTAGCACACACTTAGACCCCTTTGCCAAGCCTACACAACTCATTACAACCAAACAAAGGTCAGGAAGGTGCAGGATGACTCTCTTTCAACAGCACTAGGTTGTTACATTAGCTCCCCTTGTTTCATAAAACTACATCCTCAGTCTTCTATCCTGCTGAAGCTGGGCAACTTAGCAATATTGTCCTGCCATGCCTTCCTCCAAAATACGTGGCAAGTCAGCTGCAGGGCTCTACAGGATTTCACTGAGCTTTGGACAGAGGCAGTAGAGATCAACCTAAAAGGTGCTGCCATGTGTGATCCTAGGAAGACTGGTATTTTTTCAGGATCAAGAGGAGTTGTGATTCTGCTGTTGTCAATATGGATTCTTTAAATTAACTGATGGTACCTTCCAAGGGGGTATATGGGTATTGCTACTGCGATATAGCTGCTAAGCAGTTAAAGCTAAACAGGTCCATGTAAGAAGCCCCCAGAGGAATCATGCATGTCTCCCTGCATGATGAAGTCTGTCAGTACTTCACAGTACAGCAGTAAGGTGGAAATGTGGGCAAACCTGCCCCTCTGGACTGCCAGCCTCCCTCACTGCTCCACTAGATGTTATACACGTATTTGTCAGCTCATTTAAATGAGAATAGCAAACTTTTGTCTTCACAAGCTTGATCTGCTCAAATGTCTGCATAGAATGGGATTTTCTTCTCTTCCTTCCAGACTCAGCTCCAAAGTAAACTGTACTCTTCCTGCCTACACACTGCTAGAGGGAGCCCACACCCCCAGTGCAGAGCTGTCAGAGCTCACAAGCAAGTCTTGTAATCCTAAACCACATGTTTTGGTAGAGGAGAGTAGGTTTTTGGAGGAACCTATTAAATAAATGGAGGTAACTCAAGTAAAGAGGGATTCTAGTAATTAGCTTAGACTAGATACCTAACTGTAAATAGCTCCAGTGTAGTGAGACATATCTCCACTAAATTGTGTTCTCCTAAAATACAAGTGCACAGTTTAGCCATGCTTTCTATCCTGTAAATCCTGTAAATTATGATTGTTTCTCCTCTGGGTACAAATTCATGAACTGATTGATTCAGCAACAACTTTCAGATTTTTTTGTAGTAGCTTAGCGATATGTGAGTATTTTTCATTAGCAGATTGTTGGCTGAGGGTTGTAACAAGTTGTTATATGACATGCAAGATACATCTGAAAAAATATCTCTTCTTACAATTTGAGGAAGCACCATTATGATAAATACAGATTTCTGATTAAAAACGTGAAATTACACCGGTCTTCTATATGTATATAAAAGCATATCATAACATATTCTAAAACTGAAGTGGAAACACACTGATCTGAAATCTTGTTCTTGATCTTATTCAGAACAGCTTCGAAGTTCATTTGGCAGAAAAGGCTTTTTATTCTGCAAAAACTGATTGTTTGGGAAAAGAATAAATTTCAACATGAGCCCATCGTTCCCCTTCTATTGTAGCTAGTCATGTTCTTTCAAATCCTGATTTTCTAAAAGGGCCTTCTACATCTTGAAGGTGAGCTATAACGCAATAATTTAGTTGTGTAACTGATTCACAGATAACTGCAGACAAAAATTGTCCAGAAAGCTGTGAAAGTGCTAGACACTACTGCATGGTTTACTGTATGAGAGATGAGTACTGACATTACGAATATGATGTGTCAATCCATTAAGAGCAGTTTGGCAGGTAGGGTTTGTGAGGGAGCTATCAGAGTTAACGTTTCCTGTGAGAACGGGAGGTAATTGGTCCATCCATAAATCTGCTGCTGTGGCTGCAGAGAGTAGCTGTGCAAAGCAAATCTCCTGTTTATGTATTTCCAAATGAATGGTAGAGAGGACACAGCTTTTAGTCTCTCCAGCAGTGTCTGGTGCTGTCACCGTAGGAGACCGTAAGGCAAATAAGAATAATTTCCCATCTGAGAATTGCTCCAAATCATCCTCTTAGACCCACTGAGATGAGCCTACCACTTCCGGTCCCAGGCTGTGTTCTTCATAGCCTCCTTCTGGGTGGTTTTGTCATGATTATGCTCCGTTTCAAAGAATTCATCACTTTTAAAACCGCCTAATTCCACCTTACTTTATGGACTTGACTGAAGCACTAAACGAAGTGTCTAATGATTCAAAACTTTCTCTTAGCAGTCAGCAGGGAGAGAAGAACATTTCCAGAAGGCAGTTAATGCTCTAGGTGGAGCAGGTTGCTCTGGGAGATGCCTGTGTCTCTCCATGGGCTGTAGTGGACATCAGGGGAAATTGGGTCCTAATCAGATAGCACAGATCCAGAAAATGAATTGGTATGTATCTGGATGTTAGTTTTTGGAACAACCATGAGGTATTTTCAGATTTCCTGCAAGGGCTGACAAAAATATCCCCCTTTCCACATCAGTAAATGTTGGGCAGACACCCCGCTAAACAGAGTTGCTAAAAGATTTTGCTTTTCTTCTGTTCAGCTTCCAAAGTAAGAGTCTTGTTGTTTAGTCTGTAACACCCACTGTACTTAACTGAGCCTCTGAGTACTTCCCACCTTTAAGGATCCAAGAGTAAGAAAAGAAGGTGCTCCTAAAGATTGAACTTGTTCCAAGGAGGTTGGCTCTTGGAAAATAATCATCGCTGTAGAGGATCCACCTATGTAAATAATTACTGGGAAAGCTGAAAATCTTAAGCACCATCATGTAATGAAAGAAAGGTTTTTCAAAACTTGTTTCCAGTAATCTTTAAGAAAAACACAGATAATGCTCAAGACCAAGCAGTCAGGGAACTCGAGTGCAGCTTTCAAGTAAAAGCTGGACACAACTGCCAGGTCACAAGTTATTTCATTCCCACACTTTCTTTATCTGCACCATGCCTGAGAGTGATGGCAGTGCAGTGCTGGGAATGGGAAATGCCATTTAGGCATATTTTATTAGTTGCACATGGATACATAGTGATTTTGATAGTTCCGTTTTACATAATATAAAAGTAAGCAGGAATGATAAATGTAATCCAACAAGTGTGGGTTTACTGGCATTCCTCTGTAAAGGCATGGTATTTTTTTATCAGCACACTTAGTGTGCTTTCTTTCTAGCTTCCCTGCAGAGTGATCATACCTATACTTTTCTAGGAAGCTGTTTGGTTTTCTTTCTGTGCCTATACACTAATTGCACCGTTCTTCTAATTTCTTTGTAGGATTTCGATGAGTTATCAGAAACAGATATAAGCAGTGAGGATCAGCGTCATAATATCAAGCCCGACCTTATGGAGGAGGAGCTTAAATCCAGGTTATTTCAGCTTGCTGCTAAAATAAGTGACAAGGAAACATCTTCTGGTGAAGAACAAGATTCAGAACCTAGAACAGAACCTGAGAACCAGAAGGAGAGTTTATCCTCAGAGGAAAATGGCAGAAGTATTCAGGAAGAGCTAAAGAAGGTAAGTGGTCGTTGTAGAGGAGTGGGGACAGTACTGTAAAAGTTAGAATCCAGAAAGAGAAACTTGTGGTTAGAAAATTAAACATAGTTGCTTAAAAAAACCCTGAGGTCCTTTACACTGGGTCTGAGCCTGCAACCCTTGTGCAGTTAAAACTTCAGTTAAGGTGTGTGTTCCTCCCTGTGAGCCTACAGCATCAGTTCAAAGCAGCGAACTTAGCTTGTGTAATAACCTGTTAAGTGACTGATATTAATGGAATTATGTCAGTTTATACTGACTGAGAATCAGCTTACATGTTCTTATTTAAAAATATATCCAGTTTTCCTTTTTTTTTCCTTGCTAACCATCTGGTTTAAGTGGTTTTTTCCATCCTTTTATTCGCTCCTCTCTTTTTAGTATCATGTAGTTCATTCTGATGTCAAAGATCGTTCTTCTTCCTGTCTGTTGGAATATTTTGTGGTTCTTTAAAGATTTCCAACCCTGTTATTCTGTCACCTAATAGGCCTCTGTGAGTAGAAACATATTGTAATGAAACTGAAATCCAGTGTCAGTTCTGATAATGTATGAGATCCTCCGTTTGCACCATTTCACCCTTACAATGAGAGACCCGATTTCAGTGTCACTCCACAGGACTTACCACCTGCTCTCTTCCCTTTCTGCCTCTGAATTTCTCTTCAGATCATGTGGTGTGCTTGAATTTGGTGCTGTAGAAGCCCAGCACTGCCCCTTGCCAGTCAAGCAATCTTATCCCTTAGATCCATTCAGGCTTGTTCTTGCCTGCCGTGTGTCTTGACTCACCTCTTAAAGTCTTGGCTGCACAGCAGCTCAGCTTTGACAGGGGGTGTGGACAGCTTTCTAAAGGAAATCTGTTCATCATTTGAAAGGTGTTCTGTTCAAATTACATAAAGAACTAATACGCTGGAAGGTGAAAGCAGGATCGAGTGACCCAGGTGGACAATAGAGACGCTGTCCAAGTGTGCAGGAATGGTGTCGGCAAACGCAATGCCCACCTGGAGTTGAATCTGGCGAGGGACACGAAGGGAAATAAGAAAGGCTTCTACAGGTATATCAGCAGCAAAAGGCAGATGAGGGAAAGGGGCTCACTACTGCAGTGACCTGGTGACACAGAACATGGAAAAAGCTAAGTTACACGACATTGTTTTCACCTCAGTTTACGGGTAAGATTTTCCCTCAGGAATGCCAGACCCCTGAGACCTTTGGGAAAGTCTGGAGCAGTGGAGACTTACCCTTGGTAGAGGACGATTGGGTTAGCAAATATTTCAACAAACGGGACATACAGACCTGCATGGCAACCGATGGGGACACTTGTGAGGCCACTGTCATTCATCTTTGAAAGATCATGGTAATCTGAGGCATTCAGAGCACTGAATATTGTTTATTTTGACTTTAACGAGGCTTTCAACACTGTCTCACATAACATCCTCACAGACAAACTGGGCAAGTAAGGACTGGATCAGTAGGCAGTGAAGTGGATTGAAATTTGCCTGAATTGCTGGGCTGAAAGGGTTGCGATCAGAGGCTTGAAATCCAGCTGGAGGCCAGTCACTAGTGATGTACCCAGTGGTCAGTACTGGGACCAGTACTGTTTAACATCTTCACTTTTGACAGAGGCAGTGAGACAGAGTGTACCTGAAATTTGGAGAAGCAGTTGATGCATGAGATGGTTCTGTTGTTATTCAGAGGATCTTGACAGGCTGGAGAAATGGGCCAACAGAACCTCATTAAGTTCAACGAAGGGAAATGCAAAGTCCTGCACCTAGGAAGCAATTATCCCATGCACTCATAGAGGCTGGAGGCCATCTGGCTGGGAGACAGCTTGGCAGAAAAGGACATAGGGGTCCTGGTAGACACCAAGTTGAACATAAGCCAGCAATGCACACTTACAGAAAAGAAGGTCACCAGCATCCAGCAGACAGAGGGAGGCGATTATTCCCCTTTATTCAATACTGGTGAGGCCACTTCTGCAGTGCTGTGTCCTGTTCTGGGCTCCCCAGTACAAGGGACACATGGACATGCTGAAGTGAGTCCAGTGAAGGGCCATAGAGATTATTAAAAGATTGGGGCATCTATCATATGAGGAGAGGCTGAGAGAGCTGGAATTGTCTAGCCCTTAGGGAGGATCTCTTCAATATGTATAAATACCTGGGGGGTGGGGGGGGAGTGTTTAGGTGGGAAATAAAGAAGTGGGAATCAGACTTTTCTAACCTGTGCCCAGTGACAGGACAAGAAGCAGTGGACACAAACGGAAATACAAGAAATGCCATCTAAACATAAAAAGCTTTTTCACTGTGAGGGTGGTCAGATGCTGGAATAGGATTCCCAGAGAGATTGTAGAGTCTATGTCCTTGGAGATAATCAAAATTTGACTGGACACAGCCCTGGACAACCTGATCTAGTTGACTCTGCTTTGAGCAGAAGGGTTGGACTAGGCGATCTCCAGAGGTGCTTTCCAAACTAAAGTATTCTGTGACTCTCTGATTCTGAGATATTTAGCCATGGACTACACAGCAGTGTAAGTACCTTCATCATCATGTATGCAAACACCTCCATGATGTACACACAACCTGTCTAAGGAAATCAAATAAAAACTTTATCACCAGTGCTTGTTAGCAGCATTCAATTTAGCTTGTCTTTGGTTTACAAAGACAAACCAGCAATATCAAATTATTCAACAGGACATATAGGCTAGCTAGGGTATAACATGATGCAATTAAAGTCTAGAATTAAAGGCTGTGAATAGGACTTTCTGAAATGCTCCTGTATGGTGAACTGAGCACAGAAAATGGCAAATGTATGTTTTGTGGCGTACTTACTAATCTGCATGCATCTACAAAGTAATATTAGTTGTTTTTTCTTCTTCTAATATTATTATTTCTTTAACATTTGTATGTCAGTTATTTAAACTAAAGCAAAGATTAATATTTTATTTCTCAGTAAAATTTCTTTAAGTTTAAAAAAATAAGAGGCATACCATGTTCATCAAAAAGGGAATGCTTGGAGTTCCTAATTCTTTACTGGTTTTGGGTGAGAAAAAAGTCTTAGTCATTCATGGTCGCAGTATATATTCTTTCTGTCTATAATAAAGAAACCAAAATATCCCACTACTATTCATGGTCATGACTTCAACAGAATTTATAGCAGAACTTGTCCCAGCTGTAGAGAAACAAGCAGGCTGCCTTCATTCTTATTCTTGACAGTTGTCCTTAAAGGTGATTTAAAATCTTCTGACATGTGCCTTCTCTTTGGAAGGGTGGCTGACCAACATCTTACAATGAAATACTGAAGATGACAGTGTATAATACCAGTTGTGGCTATGGTAACCTAAAATACAAAAACATAGCTAAACTCATAAAACATGCAACAACTTTAAGATGAGTAGATGGCAGGTCTCAGTGGAGACAAACATAGAGAACATGTTTTCAGGGAACCAGTAATTTTAGATGCCTTAAAAGCCGGATGTCCCAATATGCTCTCTTTAAGAAGCCTGATTTTTGGAGAATGCCTATGTAGGGAATTACAGATCTTTCAGATTGGCCCTCAAAATTCTCGGCCAGAGACCCAGACTTCTGACCTGGGCATCAAGTTTCAAATTAGGTATACAGAAGCACTAATTCTGGGCCATTAAAATGAGAGCTTGAGTGCCTACAATCTGCTTTGAGCTCCTGAACACAAATTAAATACTGTATTTTAGCCATCTTGCTCATATTTTAGCCTTCCTGCTTGTCTTTGTTAGCCTTTAGTCTTCTATTCTCACAAGTTTATTCTGGAACACATTAGCAACCTTAAATCACAGGGAATTTCTAGTTACAGTACACCTGACCATAGAATAAGATTTAAAAAAACACATATTGTTTATTGAATCACTGGAAATTAAGTACCTGGTGCTCGTGAAAGTCTGGCTTTCACATGACTGCACCTTTAGAAGTCTGGACTTCTGTTTTTAATGGAAGCTGGGAATCTCATATAATGACGTGTGGAGCTGATGCTTTAAAAGGGGTATTTAGTATGTTAAGATCTGAAGCAATGGGAAGAATTGGCACATCCTGAGTGGGGAGTTAGCTGAAGCTGGGCATTTACAGGTTCTCAGTTCTCACTTCAAATGGAACTTTTGAGTTGTATGTTTGCCTTTAAGGTACAAGTTTGAAAATGCTGACCTTTGAGTTATTTAGTTCATGTGGGATACTTGAGGATTTAGGTGGGTATTAATTAACACAGTTTAATTTTATGCCTTAGACTTAAATCTGCTTAGACCTTCACACAATCATTTTCAATATTTTGAAGTTTGTGATTGCCTAAAACTGTCTTGTGGAGATTCACAGCTCTCTACAACAAACATAATCCTGCAGCAGACTTGTTTTTATAGATAACATTTTGTGCTTATAAGCTACAGAAGTAGCTTATGGTCTTTCAGGGGTATGCAGACCCCTGAAAAGCCTGCTTGTCTCAGTTGTGCAATGAAAGTCCATGGAGTCCTCTATGCTCACAGTAGAGTTAGCCCTCAGCCCCTCTAGATCTCAGGTGTGAACAAACCAAAAATCACATTGTGCAGCTTGTTCACAGTTTGTGAACATCTTGTACTAGCACAGCGATTTGCACAGTTTGTTCTGCCTTGCTCTTTTTTTTTGTTTTTGTTTTGTTGTTGGTTGGTTTGGGGTTTTTTTGCTTCACCCTCCCAAACCCTAACCAAATACCTAAAGAAAAAAGCAAAATGTAAATCCCCTTGGAAGTATCTTAATGACACTGATCCTGAGAGTGGCAGGCATGATAAATGGGATGTATATTTAGTTCTTGCTCTCCTCTATCCTCTCTCTTTCTCTTTTAATGCTTTCATGAAGGTCGTGCCTATGTTTCATGGTATACCCCAGAACTACATTCTAGAAGGCAATTTTAGCAGTGCCTAATGCAGACTGCATTTTGATTGCAGTTATCACTGTGACCACTTGATCAGAAACTATAGAGATACTGTTTAAAAAACAGAATAG